GTGGCAAAGGAATGCTAGAACTTTTCTTACAGCTTTTGAACGACCACTCGGCAGCTGGTTTAAGCTATGGCATATTCCGTCGAAAAGAAATTACAGAAGAGGCACAAACATTGCTTATTTACGACATGGGAGCCTCGAAGACAACAGCAGCTATATTGGAGTACAGGTTGGAAAAGGAAAAAAAGAGTGGCGAAAGAAATCCTGTTATGAGCACTTTAGGCTATGGGCAAGTGAACTTTTACCATTTTTATACCTGTAAACTCTTGGCGTCACTTACGAGTAGTAAATGATTTTTAATCCCTCTGGAATACGTCTATTTATAGGTATGATAGAACATTAGGCGGATTGGAAATTTCTTTGCGTCTACGGAATCATCTTGTGAAGGAATTCCAAAAGCAGAAGCAAGTCAGTCAGGACATAACAAAGAATCCTCGCGCTATGGCGAAAATGTTCAAAGAAGCGGAAAGAGTAAAGCAGGTCAGTCAATGCTCTTTCAAGTAGGAAAATTTTTCTCCCCGGATTTTTATTATGGGTTTTTATCTAAGCTGGATTTTCCAGTTCGAAATGTGGGATGAGTGTGCATTGTGGTTTTTCTTTGATGTTTGAAAATTTTTCAATTGGAAGTAATTAAAATCGAAGGGTATTGGGACTTGAACTCAATTTTCGTTTGTTAATACGATTTAAATTTCGAATTATTATTGATTGGAGGTGATTTGACCCTGTGGAATATTACATTACAGTACTAGATTTTGAGAGGATTATTTGGAGTGGTTCTGCGGATTCTATCAAAGTTGGATTTTACTCTACACTAGTTACAGGTTTTGTCAGCAAATGTTGATCATATTGCACAAATTGAAAGTGTTCATGAAGACCAGGATTTCAAAGTAGTTGTTACTCGTGTACAGCTTGAAGAAATGATAAAAGACCTTGAGCCGAGAATTATGAAGCCTGTAGAGGATGCACTGGCAATGGCAGAAATGAGCATTGAAAAGGTTTATCTTTCAAAGAGTTTAGCGTAGTCGGTTGAATGAATATAAAAATTAGTATTTGCATAAATCTTTGTGAGTTGCTGCTTTAAGGCGATGCACAGCACAGCAAACAGTTTTTCAAAATATTGCAGAGAATTCCCTTCTTTCTCACTGATTTTTTCAGATAGATCAGATTGTCCTGATGGGAGCAGCGACTCGTATGCCGAAGGTACAGAAGCTTGTCGGAAGCTTGTTTAAAGGGTGAGATACATTTCTTATTGACTTTCGAGATTTTTTCACCAAGTTTTAAAGTTTAAACCATATTTTTATAGAAAAGAGCTAAGTAGGTTCTTGAACACTGACGAATCCATTGCATTGGGTGCAGTTTACCAAGCAGCTCATTTAAGCAAAGGGTTTAAAGTTAAGAAATTTGACGTGCGGGACCTCCAGATCTTTCCAATTCAAGTCCGTTTGTTTTTTACTTGAGATCTTTTTATTTTGAGTCACTCTAGGAAACTTTTCATTTTTGTTTTTATCCCCTTCTGCGTTAGATTGTTCCAGCACTGTTTAGGTAGATTTTCTTGCTGCTCCTAAGAAGGATGGTACAGTTAGCGAGCGCATTGTGCACCGGCCAATATTTGGCTATAAGAGTTATATGCCGTCCACGAAGAAGATCCTTTCTTTTTCATCTTTTACAAATGATTTTTCATTCAATGTCAATTATGGTGAGCTAAAGCACCTGACGCAAAAACAGTTGAGGTTTGTCATTCCTTAGACTCTGTCGTTATTAGGCTACAGGAAAATGAAGTAGAGAAAAGTCAAAAATGCTCTACTTATCTGATCAGCTTTGTTGTTTTTTAGTATCTGTACACTCCGCTTGAGTTTTTTGATTTACTTATTGCGGGCAGGTGATTGCTCCGGCAAACCAAGTTTATTCTTTCATTTTTTTCAGTGAATTCGGTTCTACTAACATCAGCAGCGTTGATTTGATTGGTGTTACAAAGGCCTACAGAGATTTGGTGAATGGTGAGGGTGGAGCATATAAAGTGAGTTGGATTTTAACTTTTTGATTCTGGTAATATCTTTTTTATTTGATGGCGCTTTATACTCTTCTCATTTGCCAACTTGAGTTTTTAGGGTATTAAAGCACACTTTAGTTTGGATGGCTCTGGTATTGTCTCCATTGAGGGTGCTGAAGTGTGTATTGAGAACCCACCAAAGGAAGAATCTGCTTTTGCTTGTAATAGAATTTGTGTTTAATTAGCATTGTTGCTGTGGGTTGTGTTGATACTTTTATCTTTTTTTACTTCAGCATTGGCTGGAAAAATCACTGGCTTGTTTTCATCTTCTGCTTCTACGGAAGAGTCGAAGGTGGAGAAAGAAGAGAAGGTTGAGGATGAGACGAAGAGGGCTGAGGGCAAAGAAGCTAAGGAGAAAAAGCCTACCAAAGATTCCGAAAATGATGAAAGGAAGAATAATGTAAGTAAATTTAATAAGATAGTTGTTCTTCAACATGTTTTCATTGTCATTATTATTTCAGAACTTTACGTGTAAATTTTGTTTTCAGGTTACCGCTGATGAGGCAGCAAAAAAACACGAAGAAAAAAAGGTTCTTTGTCTCGATAATTTTTTTTGAAGATTTTTTTTTCCAGAAGTAGTCTACGCTCATTTTTTCAGAAAAACGAAACTGAGGTTGTTAAGGAGGACAGCAAACCTAAATTGAAGAAAATTTTTCTGGAGGTAAAAGAAGAAAGACATGATGTGAATGTTTTGTCAGACAGTGAAATTCAAGTGGCAAAAAAACGGTAGGTCTTTCAGATTATATCTCTTACGCTGTTATCGTAAACTGAGCGACTTCAGGTTGAGTGAGTTTGCGTCTGCGGAAAGAGAAAAAGCTAATCGAGAGGAAGCGCACAACAGCTTGGAGTCTCTTGTATACGATGTGGCTGATAAAATTGAACAGGAACAAATGCAGGTTGAGATGGCAAACATTTATTTTAGTTTTTTCTGTAGGTTTAAATAATTCGTTGAAATTGTGGGCTAATAATCAAATACTTTTGCAGATCTTTATCACTTCTGACGAGAAAGAAGCTATTACAAAGGAAATAGGTCGCGTTCGACAGTGGTTAGAGGAGGAAGTCGGTGCTGGCACATCTACTGATGAATTTTTGAAGAACAAAAAGATAATAGAAGACTTGTTGCGTCCCATAGTTTTTCGTATCGAAGAGCATAACGTATATTTTTTGGCTTTTTTTAATTGAAGCATTTGGTGCTTTTCACTTAGTTATCTTGAAACTTATCAGTAAAAAGAGGTATTTGTATTTAATTTAAAAATACCGTGTATTATAAACAAGAGAGTGATGAATGGGTAGGTCATTTTAATATTGGAGCGATGAGTTTTTTACAGGCTCGCCCAGCTATGACGGCAGAACTTTTATCTTTGTTCAATCATTCCGAAATATTTGTTGTCCTTGGAAGAAATCTAACAGATAGTGGAGTATTTACAGAAGTCGAAATTTCGACATTGGAAAAAGTCCTCAATGAAACAAAGGTATACGGTAGTTTTTAAAATTAAATCTCTAGATTTCTCTAATTGAAGCTCCATTAACCTGTATCTGAACAGTCTTTACTGTTGTTTGCTTTATGGTAGTTCTGTTTTTCCTTGAAAACTTCTACGTTTTGCTTTAGATATGGTGGAATGAGAAGAACGCGACGCAAAGAAAATTAAAGCCTACTGATACTCCAGCGTATACTGTGGAGGACATGAAAGAAAAGGTGACCTTTTTGGAGGACAGTTAAAGCATATTTCTCAAAGTCTTATTACTTTTTTAGATGCGAGCTTTGGATCGTGAACTGAGGTACCTTGTGAACAAAATGAAATATTCGAAGCCGAAAAATAAGAAGGAGGAAAAAATTTCTAGTCAGAATGATACAAGCGACAGTGATGAAAATGTGGTCGAAGTAGAGGATGAAGGAGTGAACCCCGATCAGAAACCTGAGTTAAGTGGAAATCAGTCGTCGCTTTCTGAAGATTCAATAGAGGACAGTAAAAAGTTACCGTCGGAGACGGATTCTAACGATTGTGAAGGCGATTCGTGTGGCAATAAGGATAAGATACATGATGCAACGGAGCTTTAGCAAGGCTTGTTTTTAACAGTAGGATTTTATAAGTTTTCAAAAAGGAGACTCAGGTCACTTACAGTGGTGGTTAAAACATCAGTTTAAGCGTTTTTTTATTTTTTTACAGATTGGGTCGTTGATATACGGTACAGAAAAATTTTATTGGGAGTGAGCTTTTTTATTTTTTGATCTCGCTTTGTATCTGGATATCACTTATACTACAGCGTT